CTCGGCGGCCGCTTCACCCTGAAAATCCACATGCCATCGACTATGTTCGCCCCAGAAGGGGGAACTGCGTCAAAGTAGGTGCCTGTGGACTTCCAGCATGCCATCTCTACGTCCATGGCTGTCTGCCACTGAGAGGAGCAGGGACCCGTAATCGCCTCTGCGTAAGAGCGCGGGGTCGAGATGCCTGGTGCATCCGGGTCTCCCTCATGTGCAAGCAGCATGGCCACAAGATGAGGTACAGCAGCTGCAAGACACTCAAAGTCCTCCTGCCAATCCTCAAGGACGTCCGTGCCAAGAGCACACTCACCCCTAACGGATGGAGGACAGTCAGACCCAGACTCAGCAACAAGACTAGTGGCGTAGTCGAGGCGACAGGCGGCAGCAAAGTTGACAAGCTCAGCAACTAGAGCAGACGTAGCAGTGGACTCAAACGAAGGGTCAGTGACAACAGTGGCTAGAAGACGAGAGACAGTAGGACTGGCAGCAAGAGCTAATTCGGACTCAGGGTCAGGAACGGCAGGAAGAGAGGACTCAAGAGGAGGCGGCAGAGGAACTCGCAGTAGAACAGAGGAAGGACGAAGTGCCATAACGTGAGTGCCGGGGACAGGAGGAGGACGCAGACGAGGAACCCGACGACCAGTGCGAGCAGCGCGAACAAGCAAGGCAGGACGAGACTCAGGCTCACGATGCTCTGTAAACGAGCCTGTCTGCTCAGTGTAAGGAGAAGGAGCAGGCAGTGGGGAGTCTGGCGGTAGCTGTGGCTGAGACTGGCAAGGCGGTGGACTCAGTAAGCTAGGAGGAAGGCCAGTAGAAGATGGGAGACTAAGAACCTGGCAAAGGACCGAGTCAGGTGGCGGCAAAGAAGACAGACGTAGCACCCCCAACGCCAGCACCTCCAGCTCCAGGGTCAACAGCTCTAGCGCCTCTAGCGTTAGGGTCTCCAGCTCCAGCTCCTCCAGCTCCAGCGCCACCAACGCCAATGCATCCAGCTCCAGTGCCTCCAGCGCCAAGGTCTCCAGCTCCAGCTCCTCCAGCTCCAGCGCCGCCAGCGCCAGTGCCTCCAGCTCCAGTGCCTCCAGGTCCAGCATCTCCAGCGCCAGGGTCTCCAGCTCCAGCTCCTCCAACACCACCAGCCCCGGCAGCTCCAGTACCCAGAGTACGAGCACCTCCAGGACTAGCAGCACTAGCACCTCTGGTACCTCCAGCTCCAGCAGGAACTCCAGCACCTCCAAGACTAGTCGCTCCAGCACTTCCTGCTCCATTGCCTCCAGCGACAGAGCCTCCAGCTCCGGCAGCTCCACTCCTAAGACGTGTGCGCTGAGCAAACCACTCTGTCCCACCTGGCCCCCCTGGAGGAACGGGAAAGAACTGGCCCCCCTGAGGGGTCAGCCAGTCTGACCGGTACAGGTGTAGAGAGAGGAGTGAGGGTGGTACTGTCGCGAAAGAAACAGTGGGAAGCAAGTGAGTCAAGTGTAAAGGTGTGAAAGGCCTCAGCAGGCTCAGTACCAGGGAGAGCAGACTCACTAGCACCTAGAGCAGCAGCCTCTATACCTGGGTCGGGCAGCACACACAGGTAACAGTCACCCTCAGCACAAGACAAGACATACATTGCAGCAAGAATAGCATCATAGTCAAGAGGAAAGATATCAACTCCAGACCTAAGCAGCTCTGCCCAGCGAGGGCACTCAGCCTCGTCACCAAATTCTGCGCGCCAAGCGTCATCTAGGCGGGAAAAGCAGCGGTGCTGAGTGTGAGGCTTCCCGCATGTCTGACCAGCACGGTCACCCGTGCGAATGACATACGGGCAGCTACCACTACCCCCAGACACCCCACGCTGAGAAAACCACTCACGAAGCTGCTTGGGCGACGGGGTCTTTCTCCGACGCTGCTGCTGCTGCCTCTAGCCACCTCCACAGCTCCAATCCGAGTGCCACCACTCCCACTGCCGCCACTACCGCCACCCCCACCGTTGCCACCACCGCCGCCACCAAAGCCCCCACTCCCGCCACTACTCCCACCGCTGCCACCACCTCCGCTACCTCCACCACCTCCACTGCCAGCCCCACCACCACCCCCGCTACCACCGCCACCACTCTTGCCACCCTTGCCCTTGCTGCTGCGGTGCTTTCCACTAATAGCAGAAGCAGCCCCGACATCCGCAGCACCAAGGATGTCAACAGCAGCAGCAGAGGCGTAGGAGGGGGCAAGAGGGGAGGGGGAACACCCCTCAAAGAAGGGTGTGCGAGGAATGCCACGAGCGGCACCTACAGCAACTACACTAGTCTCAGCTGCAAGGAGGTGCTGCTCAAGCAGGTCGACAGTGAGGTCTGTGGGGTCAAGTGCGAGAAAGTGGTCCTTGACAGTGCGAAGAGAGTTAGGGAGGCGGGTGACTATGAAGTAGAGAGTGATGTACATCGGGGTCGGGTTCCTGTCAAGGAACTCGGCTAGGAGGGCAATACGGTAGCGAGCGTCGCTAGTGCGAAGGTGGGTAACGAGGTCCTCTACTGTGGCAAAGGCGGAAAGCTCGGGAAACAGGTAGGGTAGTATAAGACGACCTAGAGCAGCAGTGGCAGGGGAGGAGTAACGGGCGACTACAACGTCGTACAGTGCTTTAGCAGTCTTGTGCTTTCTGAAGTGAGCGTGTTCGGCTAACGGCAGGTGGTTGCGAATGGCTAAGCGAGCAGCAGCATCACGGGTAAGCCACTGTGAGCAAGTCGCACTGTCAGCTGTGGCGGGAGGGGCGAGAGAGGCTCCAGACGTATGGCCAAACAACGAAATGCTGTCTCTAGAATCGCTCAGTAGGTACAGCTGTAAGTTGTCGAGCCACGTATCGAACTGGATCGGATGGCCCTCATGATCGAACGTGAGTACACTGAGAGAAGCCATAGCGGGCAGAGCAGGGTGGCGTGCGACCAGCAGTGCAGCACACAGGTAGGGCGGCGCGCGAGCACGAGGGAAGTGCGCAGGACAGTGCAGGGTGGCGCACGGCTAGGGCGGCCAGCAGACAGGGGCGGCGAGCGGGCTGCCAGAGGGCGGCGTGCGGGCTGCAGGGGTCGGCAAGCGGGCTGCCAGGGGCGGCGCGCAGGCTGCAAGGGGTGGCGAGCAGGCTGCCGGAGGGTGGCGAGTGGGCTGCCAGAGGGCGACGAGCGGGCTGCAAGGGGGGGAGCGAGCGGGCTACCAGAGGGCGGCGAGCGGGCCGCAAGGGGCGGCTAGCGGGCTGCAAGGGGCGGCGCGCAGGCTGCAAGAGGGCGGCTCGCGGGCTGCAGGGGGTGGCGAGCGAGCGGCGAGCAGGCTGTAGGGGAGGTGAGCGGGCCGCGGGCCGTAAGGCCAGTGAGGGGGGGGGGGGGGGGGGGGGGGGGGTGTAAGGGCGGCGAGGGGGGGGGGGGCGTAAGGGCGGCGAGCGGGCCACAAGGGCGGCGAGCGGGCCGAAGGACGGCGAGCGGGCCGAAGGACGGCGAGCGGGCCGAAGGACGGCGAGCGGGCCGAAGGACGGCGAGCGGGCCGCAGGCGAGCGGCGAGCGGGCTGCAAGGGCGGCGCGCGGGCAGCAAGCGAACGATGAGCGGGCTGCAGGGGCGGCGAGCGGGCCGTAAGGGCGGCGAGCGGGCCGTAAGGGCGGCTAGCGGGCCGCAAGGGCGGCGAGCTGGCCGAAGGGTGGCGAGCGGGCCGCAAACGGGCGGCGAGCGGGCTGCAGAGGCGGCGCGCGGGCCGCAAGCGGGCGGCAATGGCGGCGAACGGGCCGGAAGGGCGGCGAGCGGGCTGCAGGGGCGGCGCGCTGGCTGCAGGGGCGGCTCGCGGGCTGCTAAGGGCGACGCGGCGGGCTGCTAGGGGCGGCATAGCGGCCAGCAGGGCGGCAGGCCGTTAGGGCAGGGTTGCAGGGCAGCTAGTGGGGCAGCTCTGAGGTGGGCCCTAAAAAAAATCGGTCCTAGGGAAGGACTTGCTCTGAAACCATGTTGAACTATAGAACGAGAATGAATGCATTGAACATAAGTTGGGTACAAGTACTAACCCTAGTTGGGTTGTACCCCTTATGGGCTACCCCACTATAGCCTACACAAAGTAAGTACTATAACAGTTTTGACAGGGGGCACTGTTTAGGGTAAACCACCCTTGAACAGTAAAATACCCCGTAACGCTACCCCCCTCCCAAGGAGGCGACGTCCGCGGCGCCTGCAGACTGAAGGTACGCTTGGAGGCAAGCATTGTCAAGAGACAGCGAGGACGAAGGAACCCAGCTGTCGTCGGCTGCGTCGTAACCACACCAACGAACCAAGAAGTCGATGAAAGAGACACCCCCTGGAGACGGCGACGGTGCTTGAGGATGCGCTGGATCTGGTAGTCGGGCTCGTCAGTGTCAACAGCTACTGGCAGTGGAGTGCGATCATGACCCGAGAAGGTGGCGTTGGGATTGGTGTAAGGACGAAGAAGCGACTCATGGAATGACGGGTGCATGCGGAAATGAGCGGGAAGGCGAAGGCGGTATGCGACTGGACCTAGTGCGCACTCGATGACGAATGGACCAATGAAACGAGGGCGAAGCTTGCTGTCCTGTGGCAGTCGGAGGTTGCGGTTATCCAAAAGAACACGGTCGCCGACTGCAAACGACACCTCACGACGACTGCGGTTGGTGGTGCGTGCCATGCGTGCATCTGCGAGCTCAAGGTGCTTCCTCATGTGATCATGGATGAAAGTGAGATGCTGGTGGAAGTTGTCCGCACGAAGGACTGGTGACACAACTTTCCTAATCACAGTTCTGTGCCGTGAAACGCGGCGCCCATGATACCCCCCTTGCGAATCGCGAGCCACAATGGCCTTGAAATTGTTCCATCGTGACTCGTAGGTCACACTCCATGCCTGCAAGTGCGGTGACTCGCCATCTAGCTGGAAGTGTAGAGGTACAAAATATACAGTGAATGATCAAGTAGTTAGCAGGGTTATACATGAGAAGCTTGCTGTATAACGTGGGAAGGAGCAGTATCATTTTACCCTAAAACTTCAATATCTAGCGCTGGGTTCCCATACCAGCATGCCTTGACCCTTGACCCCTAAACCTAACACGTTCATCCGTAAAACTCCTATCTCCTCTAATTTTCACTACTCCTGCCCCTCTTTGTGAAGCAATTGCCACATTCTCCGTCCTGTGTGCAACCCTACCACCACTTGTCACCTCTTCACCATTGCCTTCCTGCCCAGACACCACATACGCGCCTCCTCCATCTCCACTACTGCTACCAGCCCCCGACGCATCTATGCACGAACTAACTATCCCTGAATCTACACCCCACTTCAGCCCCTCAATGTCTGCTGCTTCGAACACCTCCTGTAGCTTCTGCTCTTCCTTAGTAAGAACCCCCTCCACCTCCTCCCCATGCCTCAGTGCAAACTCCAACAACTTCCTCACTTCCTCCTCCAAGCTACTCCTCCCCATGTCACCCCCTCCCTCACTCCCTCCCTCCCCCACACTCTCTCCACCACCACTAGCACCACCGGACCTCCTCTCAGCCTGGACCCGAACCACCATCTCAGCCAGCTCTGCAATCACCTTGTCCTTGCGCCGAACCTCGCGCCGAACCTCCCGCCACCGGTCCTTAGCAATCCCCATAAGCCGAACCAGAACCTCATCCTTCTGCTCCAGCCGCCGCTCCAAGCTCTGCCACCGGGGACCTCTCCCAGGCCGGGGAGCAGCAGCCTGCAGCTGCCGATGCAGCATGACCGTTCTAGATATCACCTGCTGCTGCGCCTGCTGCTCGAGCCTTCTTCTCTGCTCTTCCGCCCGGTTGCCTGCTAGACCTGCTCTGCTGCTGCCTGCACCTCCCGCTCCTCCCCCTGATGCTCTGCTCGTGCCAGCGGCAGCAGCAGCAGCGGCAGTAGCAGCAGCCCATCTCTCCTCCTGCTCCTTTAACCTCTCCACCAGCCTTGCCACCTCCGCCTCTCGCCGTTCCGACTCAGCGCGCAGCGACGCCACCTCATCCTCCAGCCTGGCGACGTCAGCGTCTCGCGCCGCCAGCTGGCGCTCGAGCCCCCCGATCCGCTCCTTAGCCTCGCCAGCCATGGCCAGGAGCTGCTTCTTTGCATGGTCCACATCCCGAACCACAAGAGAGGACGGAGAGGCCGGCATGGAGTAGGGAAAGCTTGTGCGAGGCGAGGCGGGGACGGCAAGGGAGTAGGCCTGAGGAGCGAGAGAGGAGGGCGGGGAGGAGGAGCTGACCTGGGATTCGGAGAGAGAGGACGGGAGAGAGACAGGGGTTGGAGTGTTGGCAGAGGCGCAAGCAGGACCGAGGGAGAGGGAGAGGGAGGTGGGGCCGGAGAGGGAGGCGGAGGCAGAGGAGGAGGAGCGGGAGGGGTGGGGGGAGCCTGAGGGGGAGGAGGAGGAGGAGGAAATTGCCATGTCTATTGGGCCGCCGAATAGACCCAGACTGAAGGTCAAGGGGCTGTTCGGGTTCATGCGAGGGGGGAAGCCTGACAGGGAAGGAGAGGCAGGAGCGGTAGCTCCAGCAGAAGCAGCAGCAGCAGCAGCAGCACCGGCAGCGGCAGCATCGGCGGCAGTGGGAGGAGCAGACGAGCCTGATTCCCTGTGTGTGGAGTGATGTGGGCGGTCCGGGAGAGTGTCTGGCGAGCTGCTTTTCTTGTCCCCCATTGGCCCGTACGACGATGCTGATGTGGCGGTTGGTGGTGGGGATGCTGATGTGGCGGGTGAGGGTGCGAAGGCCGCAGCGACGGCGGCGGCGGCAGCAGCGGAGGCATAGGAGGTAGGCGGTGCAGAGGAAGAGTCACTTGTCGTGGGTGTTGCTGGGTTGGATGTGGTACTGGTGCTGCTGACAGCACCACCACCAGAACCACCAGCAGCAGCAGCAGCAGCAGCAGCAGCACGGCTGGCAGCAGTTGCTTCAGTTGCTGCAGGCCTGGCAGAGGGTCCACTCCCGTCACCACCACCACTACCACTGCTGCTGCTGCTGCCACTGTTGCTTTTTGACACACTCGCACCGCGGCCTAGTCCAAAAGAACCAAATAGCGACAACAACCCCAACCCTCTTGCAACCCCTCCTCCTCCACCACCACCACCTCCAGCACTCTGCTCCCTCCTCACCTCCTCCTCCCTTCCCTTCGCCTCTTCCCCACTCCCCTTCTTCTCCTCCACCTTCCCCTCCACCTCCTCCCGCTCAGCAGCCCTGACTCCCACCACTCCTCTCGCCCGTCCACCCCCTATCGACCCCACCACCCCCTCCTCATCATCCGTCTCCTCTCCTTCCTTATCCCCCTCGGGAATCACAGGCAGCGCCCCCACCGTCATCTGCGGATCCTCCTCCTCTGCTCTGCGCTTCCTCTCAAACCCCTCTGCTGCCACTCTCAGCAGATGCGCCTTTGCCTCTTCCAACCCCATCGGCTTCTCACTCTCCTCCTCCTCTTCCTCCTCTTCATCCTCCCCTCCTCTCCCTCCTCCGCTGCTGCCTTTCCTAGCAGAGGTCCCTGCGCCCTTCCCCCTCATCCCTGCATTAGCACCGGTGCCAGCAAGAGTCAGCCCCGCAAGCAGCGCCTTTCTGTCCCCCCCTCCCCCGCCACTCCCCGCCCCTGATCCGCCTCCCTTCCTCCCCCGTTCCTGCTCATCCTCCTCCTCCTCTCTCTGGCGCTCCAGCAGCTCATTAAACCGCTCCTCCCGCTGCTTCCTCTCCCTCTTTCTCTGCTGCTCCTCCTTCCGCCTTTCCCTTTCCACCTCGGCCTGCTTCTCCTTCTCCTTCTGCTGCTGCTCCTCCACCTGCCTCTGCTTCACACGTGCCAGCATCAGCTCTAGCCCTTTCAGTTCCTTCTGTAACTTTCCTACAGGAACATCTTGTTTCTGCTGCCCCTCGTCCTTGCCTCCTCCCCCCTGGGCCTCCCCTGCCCCGTCCCCAGCCTCTGTTACTTGCTTCTTATCCCCGTCCCCAGCCCCTTCACCTGGCCCTTGTCCTTGTGTGCCCGACCCTAGTCCTGCTGCGTCCAAGGCATCAGCCGTACTCAAGTCTGTTTTCTCCCTCTCTCCAGGTACCGAGCCTGTTGCAGATTCCGTCCCAACTCCTGCTGATGCTGCTCCCACTGCTGCTCTCCCTGCCCCTCTTGCTGTGTCACCACCAACAGCGGGAGCAGCATCACCAGCAGCACCAGCTGAAGTCGCAGTACCGACAACGGCAGTGGCAGAAGCACTGCCACGACCAGCAGCAGCAGCAGCAGCAGCACCACCACCACCGCCAGCAACAGCGGCGGCAGCAGCAGCGTCAGCAGCCTCTCTCTTCCGCCTCTCCCTCTCTCTAGAAGCAGCAGTCAGCTCCGCCAGGGCGCGCTGCAGATGCACCATGCGGTGCACTCCCCCTCCCCCTCCTCCCCCCTGCTCCTCCTCCCCTGCACTACTCTCATCATCCTCATCATCGTCATCATCCCCCCAGCTTATCTCCCTCTCCATTGGTGATTCTTCCTCACTCGTTCCCTCCCACCTACCCTCCTCATCCCCGTCCCCGTCGCTCCCCTCCTCCCCCTCCCCCTCTCCGCCCTCTCCCCCGCCCCCCAGGCCCGCGTTCCCCCCATCCGCGCTTCCCCCACGCGCCTGCCCGCGCGCCCTCAGCGCAGCAGCCTGCGCCAGCAGCTCGTCGACCTTGGACCGCATCTCCCTTCTCCCCGCATCCGCCTTATCAGCATCTCCACTACCAGCACTGGCTACCGCGTCAGCCGTCCCATTCTCCTGTAGCCAATTGGTGGTCTGCTTCACCCCCGCTTCTCCGCCCTCTTGACGCTCGCCATTCACGGACGGGACAGGCACAGGGACAGAGGACGGGACAATGACACGAGGCGGGACAGGGACAGGTGGCGAGACAGGGACAGATGACGAGACAGGCACAGGAGAAGAGACAGGCACAGGAGAAGAGACAGGGACAGGAGAAGAGACAGGCACAGGAGCAGAGACAGGGACAGGAGCCGAGACAAGCACAGGAGCCGAGACAGGCACAGGAGCCGAGACAGGCACAGGAGAAGAGACAGGGACAGGAGAAGAGACAGGGACAGGGGGGGTCAGAGGCGGAGCAGCAGCTGCCTCGCCTTCCTCTGCCTTCCTTGCTGATCCACCAACGACGCCGTCTACTACCTTCTCACCTCCTCCATTCTCTACCGCACTACCCTCTTCCCTCCCCACTTCCCCCTCGCGTGTTCCCCCTCCGCCATCCGCCCCTCCCCCTTCTCCACCTGCAAGCACCACCACCACACTCTCCAGCCCCTCGACACCCTTGCTCCCTCCCTCCTCGCCCTTGCTCCCTCCCTCCTCTCGAAACCTCTCAGCGCCTCGCGTCTCTTCCAGCTCCTGAGGCGTCTCCTTGACTTTATTCTCAGGCTGCCCCTCCTCCTCTGTACGCGCAGCCACTTTCCTCTCCGCATTCTCCGCCACTGGTCGCCCGTTTTGCTGCTTTTCATCTCCTGCCACCCGCATTTCCCTCTGCCTCTCGCCCTCGCCTAGATTCTCGCTCTCTGCCAGCGCTTGCTGCCCATTTTGCAGCGTCCCAACTTCGGTCACAGGCTGGATTTCAGACGGCTCATTACATTTCCCACCCTCGCCAACCTCCCCACTCTTCACACCATCCCCACTCTCCGACACAGGATTTTCCTTCTGCAGCCCGTTTTCGTCATTTTTCCCATTCACCTCTCCCCCAACCTCCGACCCCACTCCCTCTCCTACCCTCTTCTCCTCCGTAACTTCCTCTCCCGCCTTCTCCGCCACATTCTCCCTCACTCCCTCCATTCGGTTATCGCCGGCACCACTGGCGATTCCATTTGCCTCTGCCTGCATGCCTGCGCCGCTCGCTTCCGGGCATGGTTGAACCGTCGGAGCGGGCTTTAAGCTCTCGATTGACTGAGGCGGATTCTCGTCAGTTGGCGGGAGGTAAGTATTCGTATCAGCCGGAGCATTATCTCCTATATCAGCCACTGCGATTGGGCCAGGAACAGCGTCTGGTGGCTTGACTGCATCGCCTTCAACCGTGAAGGACCTGATTGTACCTTGGTCGAGTGCAATCTCCTTGTTTACAGTGTCGGCGCCATTCTCCTCGGGAGCCACGCGAGACTGTGAGGGAGAGAGCCCGAAAAACGTCCCCCATCCAGGTCCTCCGCCGCTCATGCCTCAACCGTGACCCTAACCAGCCGAGAGATTACAAGATACGCTATTTATTCTTTTGTTTTGACCGTGCTAAGTGGCGTGCTGTCTGATGGTTGGTGAAGGTGCGCTCTGGAAAATAGCGATAACGGGTTGACGTAACGCGAGACGCCAATTGACGACCTGATTCACTATGCGTTCAGCGCAGCGCTATCAGGTCGCATTGACCTAAACTACATATGCATTGACTGGGACGAAGGGCTGTACGGCGATAGTGCGTTGTGAGAGGTGTGGCTGATTGTGGGGAAAGGGTTCTGCCTGAGGAATATGGTGGTTGAGAGATGAGGGGGAGATTTCGCCTTGGAAATTGAGCGGTTTGGGTTTGGAAACGGCTAATTTGGAGAAATCGTTACCTTGGCAAGGGCAAAGACACCAAACTTTTGAGTAAAAAGTAGTAGTGCCTTTGTATCTCTAAAGGGTAGTACATTTGACCTTTCTATGCAGAGTGAAGTCATTTCACCTCGCAAGTGGGGCAAAGCTAGCTTGTGGAATTGTTAAACACGACCCTCCGTGCAGAGAGAATGTCCCCGCGAAGCTTGAGAACAACTCGAAACAGAAACATGTTTTCAACTGCACCAATGGAAATTCGATAATTTCTGGCGGGAACATCAATCACCGGTGGCAACCGTTGAAACAGTGTAGACCTCCCAGGGGACCTTGACAAAGTGGATAATGTACAGAACGGCTGATACAAATACGCTTACAGGCGAGGTTTACAAATATGTACTTGTGGCGAGGTTTGCTGTGGCGAGCACTTCAATTTGGCGCAAATCGGCTGCCCCAGATGCCAAACCAAGATCGTTCCACACTGTGCGAACAATTTCTCATCGAGCAGACCTGACCGAGAGCTTTCACCCCCTACAAGCCAGCAGCACATCAAGGAACAATTCACGGAGGAGTTCCCGAGGCGCTGCGGAAATATGCCAGATGTTCCTCCACTCGCCGACGTTTTTCGCTGTTCTCGGAGGCCGGGCAGGGACATCTGGCACGGCAAGGCATGTCTTTTCTCTCTTTTCCGTGGGCTGACAACGAAGCAACTCGGACAGCCAAGGTCAACGGCTTGCCTGTCAGGTTGTTTATTCACATTTCACCAACCTCGATGTTCTCGACTGGGAATCCCGATCATCGAGGGACTCAATAACGCGAATTATTGCCTTGAATTCATATACCACATCCAATTCCTCATTCATTTTGAACTCTTCACTCCCAGATCTCACTTCTGCTTCTTCATCCGCCTTCACTGGCGGGTAGGTGACGGATCTAGGAGTTTTTCTTTGCCATTTGTGGTATAGCCAGGATCTTGCAGTGTTTTCTCACGCCCGTCACTTGAGGGCTTACCCTTACCCGTAGTAATGGCATCAGGAGACGAAATCCCGCCTGTTGTCGAAGACGTCTCGCAAATCGGAGGGGACGCTTCGCAGACGGAAGCCCCATCCGCGGAAATTGCCGATTCAGCTCCGTTAGAATCGGCCGATGGCATATCGAGCTCTGCGGGATTCGAACCTGCGATCGGTCCCGATGGAGCTGACTCTGGCTTCGCACCAGCGGACGTTCCGGAGCTCGCGGCGGTCCCGGAGATGGCGGCGGAACCAACGATCACGCATCGCGAGTTTTATTTCATCAGAATTCCGCGTCCGGATCTGTCGGCGGAGATCAACAAGATCAAGGCGGTGGAGCAGCGGGTGAAGGAGAAGCGCGACAAGCAGCAGGCCGTTAGTGCCGCTCTTCGCCTGAAGAAGGTATCGCATCGCGCGTGTTTAATCATCTATATGCACGAATATGTGAAGTCTCTTCGTCGAGATCTCCCGTTTGACAATTTATTTCTGATTGTGTTGTCTTATCGTCGCTTTCTTTTCTGTTTGTTCGTGTGAAAAATATGCACCGACACAGGCGCAATGGTCGGAGGCCTTCGAGGCGCTCAAGGCCGCGCGAGCGCGCGCGCGGGATTGTTCGCAGGACGTGCGGAACAAGTTCGACGAGGCGAAGCCGCTGCAGGGCGTGCTGCGCAAGATGAACGAGAGCAAGGCGAGCGTGCGCGACAGGGGCCGCGGCCTGGAGTGCACCACGGAGGCGCAGCTCAACGCGCTGGTAAGCCAATCAGCATCCTGTATTGGTTCCATACGAACGCTGATTAAATGAAAATCTGCGTGTGAGTGTTGATCGCGTGACCAATCTATCAGTACCTTTTGTTTAAATAAAATACCGAATTTGCCTCACATCATCGCGTCTGCACGAACGAATTTTGCGACTCGAGCAGCGCGCTCTCTCTAGCCCTCGCAGCGCTTGGCCCGCAATTTGGGTTGGCGGATCGCCGTACGCCGCGTGGATCGAAGTGACGATTGCGATCCTAATTATTTTTCCATCCCATCCCGGTCGTCCTCACCCGTCCCGCCCGCCGCAGATCGCGGCGACGGAGCACCGCATGCAGCACGAGACGATATCGCTCAAGGAGGAGAAGCAGCTGATGAAGGAGCTCAAGGAGCTGGAGGCGTCGCGCCCCAAGGTGAAGGAGATGGAGGCCCTCACGGCGTCGTTCCAGGAGAGCCAGGGCCAGCGCGACTCCATCCAGGAGCGCCTCAAGGTAAGGCGCGTGTTTGTTGTGCTGGTGGGAACATTGGGTGTGCTTGGAGTTCTGGAAATGCACGGATGTTGGGAAGGCTGGGAATGTTAGGAATGCCAGGCATGCTGGGAATGCTGGGAATGCTGGGAATGCTGGGAACGATTTGAATGTGTGGTGGATTTCTGGTCGGTGTAAATGTGAATGTAACTGATGTCACTGTTGTACTGTCTTGTGATGGTCATGATGTGATCTTCCTGTCATGGTGGCTTTTCCTCCCAGCACCCTCCTTTCGCCCTTCGATCCGATCTTGCGGGTCGGTTATAAACATGCTTAGGCTGAAGCGCAACAAAGCAATCACCCATCCCTTTCCCCTCTTTGCCCTTGATCCCCCGTTACCTATCCCCCGTTACCCCATCTTTCTCCCTCCAAACATCCCCTTACCCTCTCTCTCGTAACTCCCCTTTCCCCTCCCCCCGCCCCCCGTCCCCGCCCCCGCCCCCGCCCGCGCGCCAGCCGCTGATGGCGGAGGTGGACGTGCTGAAGCTGGAGCGCGACGCGGCGCAGAAGATCTGCGCGACGCTCGAGGCGGAGGCGGCGGCGCTGGACGAGGAGGTGCAGGCGCTCTTCGGGGAGCGCACCAAGGCGCAGCTCGACGCGGATAAGGTCTACGACGAGCTGCGCGCCGCGCGCGCCGCCACCAACAAGAAGGTGCGCGGGTTTTGCTTTCCGCCCTCCCGTTCCGCTCCGCCTCCCCCCACCCCCACCCCCGCCCCCTTCCGCCTTCCCCCTCCGCTCTCGGTTCCGCGTCGTTCCGCGCGCCACCTTCCTCTCCCCTCAGTATCGCGCGAACCTGGCGGCCATTCGGAAGCTAGCTTATCCCCTCTCCCCTTCCCGTTCCTCCCTGACCCCCTCCCCCTCCCTTCCCCCTCTCCCCCCTTTCTCCAACGGCAGGACGAGGATTTCCGGCAGTACCGAGCGGACCTGGCGACGATTCAGGAGCTCGCGTCCAAGAAGGACGTGGCGGCGCTCGAGGCGTTCTGCGAGCAGCAGGTGCGGCGGGGGGTGCGGGCTTTCAGTCTGTTTCTGGGGGTATGAGGCTTGGACTTTAGGGCGAGGAATGGTGGCTTGGATTTTTGGGCTGGGAATGCAGGAGTGGGGGTGTGGGTATGAAAGCGTAATGTGAGCAGTAGCCATAGCATGGGACGTACAGGTACAGGAGGAGGGAGAGGAGAGGGCAGCCAGTAGCAACGCACTGGAGCGCAGCTGAAAGCCATCGGATGAGAACGACTGGTGCGTCCGCAGCCTAGTCCACGCCTCACCCCCTTCCCCTTCCCTTCCCGCTGTCCCGCCCTTGCTCAGAGGGAGCGCACGCATCTCCGTCTGAACACGGACGCGGCGTACCGAGCGGCATACGTGGAGGCGAATCGCTACAGCACCATCCGCCGCTTCCGCTCCCTGGACACACGCAGGCTCGGCGTGGACGAGGACCCCGCGAACCTGCTCGACGTGCCGTCCCGAACCTACGCGCCAGCTTCGGCGCCGGCAGCTTCTGCAGCGGGTGCTGGGGAGGCAAGGGCGGGGAGCGGGGCAGAGAAGAAGGGAAAGGGGGCGGGGGAGAAGGAGACTGGGAAGGCGGCTGGCGTGGATAAGGGCGCAGGGGGGAAGGGGAAGGGGGAGACGGCGGAGGGGGCAGGGAAGGGCGCGCGAGGAGCCGCAGCAGCAGCAGCAGCGGCAGGCTGGGGGGATGAGGAAGCGGACGTGGGGAAAGGGAAGGGGGAAGGGAAGGCGGGTAAGGAGAACGGAGTAGTGATGAAAGTACCGGAAACAAAGGTAGAGGAGGTGGATGAGGAGGTGGAGAGGGAGAGGCGGAGGGAGGAGGCGATGAGGAAGGCCAAGGAGGCAGAGGCGCGCAAGGCGAAGCTGGCGGAGAAGGCTCAGAAGCGGGCGGAGGCGCGCGCTGCCAAGGAGGCTGAGGCTCTCGCCAAGCGGCGCGAGAAGGTGCGTGGGTTGGTGGGGGTTTGAGCGGGCTGGTTCAGGGTTGCATGGATGGATGAGTGGGAGGTTGTGTGGGTGGATGAGTGGGTGGGTGAGAGGATGGGTGAGAGGATGGGTGAGGGGATGGTTGCGTGGGTGGGTGGGTAGATGCTGGGCAAGCAGTGGAGCAATCGGCACAGTGCTACTGGCAGTATGCGTGGGTGGTTCACCTGGGTGCTTGAGTGGAAAGGAGAAAAGCGTTTAGCACCGTCGTCATCTGGTGGCCTGGAATTCGCTGTTGCCATATTGCCCATCGAGACATATCACTCAGGGAGTTTAAACAGGCTCCTTATTGGCACATCTGACCACCACGTACCACATGCTCTCATCAATTCTCACCCCTCTCTCCTTGTCCCTCCCCTTTTTATTCTCCCCCCCTTCGGCCTCCCATTCTCTCCACTTGTCCCCTCCCCTCTCTTTCCTCCCCCTCCCCTTTCCCTCCTGTATTCCCAATCTGCCCTTCCATCCCCCTGCAGGAGCGGGAGAAGCGGGCACGCAAGAAGGCAGCAGCAGCAGGGGTGCCATACGTGGAAGGGGCAGCAGAGGCGCCAGCAGAGGGCGACGCCCCAGAGGACACCATTGCAGGCGACGATGCCTCTGCAGCAGAGGAGACCAGCGCCCTTGCTAACAGCAAGGGCGACGGGGGCAAGGGCGGAGAGGCGGAGGCGGGGTTATCGAGGAGGGAGCAGCGCCGGCGGCAGGCACTGGTGACACTGCGGAAGAAGAAGAGCGGGTGGCTCAGCGGGGGTGCCCTCTGGGGGGTGGCCGGGGTGCTTGCCGTTGTGCTTGCAATCGTCATCGCTTACTATGTGGTGGGTGTGGGTGGTTTGTTGATAGGTTACATGGCGACTGTGGGTGCTGGTTGCCTGAAAGGAACAGTGAGCAGCGCCGGTGGCAGGCGCTGGTTGTCATTGCTGACTTCGTGGTGAGTGTGGGTGGTTTGTTGGTTGAGGGCATTGTGAGGGTGAGTGGGACGCTGGTTGACTGAAAGGCTCAGGGAGCGGGTGGTTAAGCTAGAGTGCTTTCTGGGGGTGGCTGGGGTCCTCGCCGTTCTGTTCGCTATTGTTATCGCTTACTTTGTCATCACTCCCACACCCACCCACACCCACACCCATTCTGGTCCAAAAGGTACTGAATCCTGCACCATACTTGTGCATCGTGTGGACATGCTCGTCTACGTGCATGCTCTAGCCTTCTCCTCACACATCCCATCCCTGCACCGACTTCAATCCTCTCTGGTCCCTCCCTGCCTGGCCCATTTCCCCCTTGTCTCCCTCTGGCCATCCCTCCTCGCCTCTGTCCCAAGCAGCAGCAGGCACTGAATCCGGCACAGCCCATATTCGAGGCTGAGAGCTAGATGCACTGCAGCATGGCCCTGGCCCATGCCACGGCGGTTGGTCTAGATGCTTACACAAGCAGCAGTGAGGGTGCCAGTGCTGGTGCTGTCGCCATGCTGCTCCATCCGCTGCACGATGTGCTTAAACAAGCAGCAGAACTGGTTGCATGGTGGCATGGGTTACTTCCTATACACTACCAGAGGAGCACCTTCGCTCTTAGCTCTATCAAGATTCTGTGGCAACACATACTCTGTAGCAGATTGTTGCTTGCACCAACTGTGTTGCAGCTACCATTGCATAAGCACTGATGCTGTCCTAGTATCTGATTCATCTACGGTGCCGTATGTATGCTCTTCGAAGTGCTCCTGAATGTACGGTACCAGTTCTGTTTGATCAACGAGTGTATCAACCTCAAACATCATGGTGTTCTGCAGACCTGATCACTGTTCTGTATTGCCATTGCACCACTGCAGTGCTGCTGTAGCACTTCCATCTTCCTTCCTGAATCATGTAATGCCAGCACAGTGCAGCACTAAATTCCCTGTACTGCCTCTACTAGTGCAGTTCTGTATTCTCTCTAGAATCCTGTACTGCCTCAACTACTGCAGTTCTGTCTTTTCTGTAGAATCCTGTACTGCCTCTACTACTGAAGTACTGTATTGTCTGTAGAATCATGTACTGCCAATAATACTGCAGTACTGTACTGTATTCTGTAGAAGAATCGTGTACTGCCACTACTACTGTACTGTACTGCAGTACTGTACGGTTCTGTCTGTAGTATTGTATTGCCTGTAGAATCATGTACTGCCTCTACTACCGCAGTACTGTATTGTTTGTTGAATCCTGCACTGCCTACACTACTGTAGTCCTGTACTGTTGCAGAATCCTGTGCTGCCACTACTGCTGCAACATTATCACGTTACGAATTCCTGTACTACTGCAGCACTTTAGTGTTACAAAATCCAGTACTGCCATTGCACTTGGAGAGGGCTTCCTTGCTTGCTTGGTAGGGCCCCTCTTGGCCGCCAGGGTTGCCCCTGACGTTACACCCAAACACCACGATGAGGTGGAGGCCATCGTTTGGGACCCTGTTGGGGGGCTGAGAAAAAAAGAGAGACAAGCTATGAGGCAAACAATGCTCCTGCCCCCGCGGCAGGAGTAAAGGCAAACGATGCACCTCAGGCAGACCGTGCTGTCCCAGGCTCACTGCACCTGCGGGAGGGACGCGGGAGCAATACAAGCAACATGCAAGCACGGTCGGCACAGGTTCGACAGGGCACGGGCGCACGAACAGGTTACGGTCGGCACAGGTTCGACAAGGTACGAGCGCACGAACAGGTTACAGACGGTCGGCACAGGTTCGACAAGGCACGGGCCCACGAACAGGTTACGTACGGTCGGCACAGGTTCGACAAGGCACGGGCGCACGAACAGACATCACCTTTGCATACCACCTTAGGCTGGTGCTGCTGGGGCTGATGTTGGTGCTGATGTTGTCACTCCTCGTGCTGCTGTTGTCACTCCTCGTGCTGCTGTTGTCACTCCCTATGCTGGTGCTGGCGGTGTTGTCACTCCCGGTGCTGGCGGTGGTGCTGCCACCATGCTGCTCCACACGCTCTCGCCACTCCTCCAGGGCTGTCCAGTCCTCACCAGATCCTTAGTAGCCAAGATGCATCCTGCAGAGGAATGTGGGAGGAAACTAAAAAGGACAAATAAGTTGCTGGTGAAGTGCGAGTGAAAAGAGAATGCAAAAAAAAACATAAACGAGACTTGCGACATGCAAAAACAGAGCGGAAATTCTTCCCCCCCTCAACCCCATACTCCCTTTTATAAGCAGGCGTTGCTCGTAGGAGCTGCTCCATCCTATCCGCCTCCACCCTCCCTCCCAAGTAGATGCGATCAATGCTGCCGCACCTTCCATGCTCCAGCCGCCCCACCAGCTCTCCAATCCGCCATGCTGCGCTCTGAGACACAGGAATGCAGGAGGGGGGAACTAAGGAGGATAGATAAGTTGCTGGTGAAGGGAAAGTGAAAACAGAATGCAAAAGGGAAACAAAAATGCGACAAGAAAAACAACAAGGAAACAAGAAACGAACGAAGTTGCTCCCCTCAGCCCCATACTCCCTTCTGAAAGCAGAGGTTGCTGGTGGCAGTCGTAGCTCCATCCTCTTCCGTGCTCCAATCCGCCTCCCTCCGCCCTCCCGAGTAGATGCGGTCGCTGCTGCCGCGCCTCCCATGCTGCGGCGGTCCCCACCAGCTCTCCAATCCGCCATGCTGCGCACTGCAACACAGGAATGCAGGAGGGGGGAACTAAGGAGGATAGATAAGTTGCTGGTGAAGGGAAAAGTGAAAACAGAATGCAAAGGGAAACGAACGAAGTTGCTCCCCTCAGCCCCATACTCCCTTCTGAAAGCAGTAGTTGCTGGTGGCAGTTGTTGCTGGTGGCAGTTGTTGCTCCATCCCCCACCGTGCTCCCCCCAGCACCTCAGCTCCGACCGTGCCTTGCTGTCTGATAAAAACATGAGAAAGCAAACAGCATTAGACGGTGGAAGGAAGCCAAAAGCAGAATGCAAACTTACAGAACGGGATAGAAGCCTCCTCGCCCTCCTCGCTCCACTCCCTCCCGTGTGCACCTAGGGACGGGAAAGGAAGGAGAGAAGGGGGTTGTGCGCGCCTCTCGTGCTGCCTGCGGTGCTGCCTCCTCGCCCTCCTCGCGCCTCGCACCTAGGGATGGGGAAGGAAGGAGAGAAGGGGGGTTGTGCGCGCCTCTCGTGCTGCTTGCGGTGCTGCCTTGTCGCCCTCTTCGCTCCACTCCCTCTGTGCACCTAGGGTGAGGGAAGGAAGGAGAGAGGAGGGATTGTGTGCGCCTCTCGTGCTCCCCGCCATGCTGCATTGTTGCCCTCCTCGCTCCACTCCCTCCTAGGGCGAGGGAAGGAAAGAGAGGAGGGGGGTTGTGCGCGCCTCTCGTGCTGCCTGTGGTGATGCCTCCTCGCCCTCCTCGCTCCACTCCCTCCTGTGTGCACCTAGGGATGGGGAAGGAAGGATAGAAGGGGGGTTGTGCACGCTTCTTGTTCTGCCCGCCGTGATGCCTCCTCGCCCTCTTCGCTCCACGTGACGATGTAAGAAAAAGCGGAATGCAAACTTACAGAAGGGGATCGAAGCCTCCTCGCCCTCCTCGCTCCAAGTGACGGTGTTAAGGGAAGGGAAAGAGAAGGGGCGAAGGACGGAGAGCTGATCAGGAGGGCGTGATGTTGCACTCACATCCAGAGAAGGTGGCCGTAGGCGTTGCACTCACATGCAGAGAAGGCGGCCGTAGGCGTTGCACTCACATCCAGAGAAGGTGGCCATAGGCGTTGCACTCACATGCAGAGAAGGCGGCCGTAGGCGTTGCACTCACATCCAGAGAAGGCGGCCGTAGGCGTTGCACTCACATCCAGCGTTGATGAAAAGAGGAGTGCTGATCAGGAGGGCTTCAAAGGCCGAAAGAGGAGTTACCGGGAAGAGGGTGCTGAAGTATTACAGTCAGGGAGGAGGAGCCAACGGTGGGGCAAGCGGGAGGATGAGAAACCCCAATCGAAGGTGGCCAGCCCCGATCGAAGCAACGCATCCCGACACACGCTTACCGCGGCTCAGTTGGGCAAGAGGGAGAGTGGGTACTAACGAGAGGGGGGGCCAACCCACAATCGAAAGTAACACCACCCAGACACACTCTTCCCGCAGCTCCGCTCTGCAAGTGGGAGAGTGAGAGCCAACGATATGGGGAGCCACCCCCAATCAGAGGCTCACCACCCAGGCACACACTTACTTGCGGCTCCGCTCCGCAAGAGGGAGAGTGAGAGCCAACGAGAGGGGAAGCCAACCCCAATCAGAGGATCACCACCCAGACACACTCTTACCGAGCCCAGCTGGACAAGAGGGAGAGCAAGAGCCAATGAGAGGGGGGCCCCACCCCCAATCAAATGATCACCGCCCAGACACACTCTTCCTGCAGCTTTAGTCCCCTTCCACATACAACATCGTCCCTCTCCAAGTTCCTCCTCTTCCAACCCGTCAACCACTCCCTCTCACACCTCCACCTCACCCCAAGGGTGCAGGTGGGGAGAGCACACGCATGGGCAAAGACGAGCTTCGTTCGCTCCATCCTTGCTCCATCCGCCTCGCCTCGCGAGCCGCCAGCAAGCGGGTGGTCAGCAGGGCGGGTAGGAGGAAGCCATATGCCAGTGGCTGCCGGCCGTGCGTCATCCCACCACGTTGTGCCACAAACAACCTCTCGTTGCGCCACAAACATCTCACCTTTCTCAATGAGTGGCAGGATGCGTCCATCCTCGTTGCATCCGCCGCGCCTTGGATCCTCCAGAAAGAGCCTCGCTCAATCTGTGAGCACCATGCACCCAGTCCAGCGCACACATACCAGAGCAGCACCGCACCCACCAGAGCAAGTCCTTGTGCTCGCTCCTCTCCTCGCTGGATCCGGTGCGCCTTGGGTCCTCCTGAAAGGGCCTCGCTCAATCCGCCCCGGGGGGAGCTTGCGCTCCACACGGCCTCTCTCCAACTCTCCTCACCTCGTCTCTCCTCTTCTTGAGCTCAAGAGAGAGAGTAAAGGGCTCAAGAGAGCTCACAGCCAGAGAAGGTCGTTGCTGCCTCTATCGATGAAAATTACAAAGACAAAAGAGAATGACAGCGAGATACATGAAGAGAGAGAGAGAGTAAAGGGTTTAAGAGAGTTCACATCCAGAGAATGTCGTTGCCGCCTCTATTGATGAAGAGATGAAAGACAGAAGAGAACGCCAGCGAGATACATGAAGAGAGATAGAGTTAAGGGCTCAAGAGAGCTCACATCCAGAGAAGGTCGTTGCTGCCAAGAGTGTCGATGACAATTTCAAAGACAAACGAGAATGAATGACAAAGAGATTAAGACACAGAGTAAAGAGGCGGGGTAAGGAAACTCAATTGGAGTCGACGATTGACGAGAGAGAACAAGAGAGTTAACCGGGGGAGACCTGTTTTTTACCAAGGGGTAACCGGATGGCTCACTCACTTCCAGAGGAGGTGGTGGTGGTCGCGGGTGTCGCCTCGATCGAGTGTCGATGGAAATTCGGAGACAAAAAGAACGACAGCGAGAGAGCTCAAGAGAGAGAGAGAGCGGAGGGCAAGGAAACTCAGTGGGTCTGAAGGTCGAGTGCAGCAGATCGCTCCCTCCACCAGCAGCACCGCCTCCTCGCCCTCGCACGCGGTCCCACCAGGCACGCTCGTCCAGTCGGGATGCATGCGCGCCATCCACGGCCTGCATGCCTCCGGTGCACGCGCTCTTGTTGAGTGTGCTCTGCTCCCTGAGAGGCGAGCAGTGGTCAGCAGGACGGACAGCAGCAGTGCTGCCTGGCGTGCGTCATCCCACTGCCGCCCTCTGCTGGCTCTGCATGAGGAGCAACAAAAACAGAGAGAGGATACAGAACGGAACTCGCCATGGGCGAGGAATCAGGACACATGAGAGCGGAGAGAACGAATGGCAAACAGGAATGAATGGCGAACAGACAAGAATGAAAGCAAACAAGAACGAATGTCAAACAAAATTGGCAGAATATAGATCGACGATTGACGAGATCGAACAAGAGAGTTAACCGGGGGGACCTTCTGTTTTACCAAGGGGTAACCGGATGGCTTACTCACTTCCAGAGGAGGTGGTGGTGGTCACGGGTGTTGCCTCGATCGAGTGTCGATGGAAATTCAGAGACAACAAGAACGACAGAGAGAGAGCTCAAGAGAGAGAGCAAAGAGCGGAGGGCAAGGAAACTCAGTGGGTCTGAAGGTCGAGTGCAGCAGATCGCTCCCTCCACCAGAAGCACCGCCTCCTCGCCCTCGCACGCGGTGGTCAGCAGGGCGGGTAGAGGCAGCCACGCGCCCGTGGCTGCCGGCCGTGCGTCATCCCACCGCGCTCGCCCTCCCCTTGCATGCGCGTCGTGCACGCACCGCCCTCAAGATTGTCCTGCCAAGGAGCCAAGGGAGGCATGAAGAGCCAAGGAAGATAAGTAGGTGGAGAGATGGATAAACAAGGCACCAAGACAAGTGCACCGAACAAGGAGTCCGCAGCAATGGCAAACAAAGAATGGGACAGCAACAATGGCAAACATGAATGGGACAGAAAGATTGACAAATGAACAATTACAGCAACGAGAAAAACACAGCAGCGTTTGAAGGGTTAACCAGGGGGACCCTCTGTTGTACCAAGTCTGAACCGGGGGGACCTTCTGTTTTACCAAGGGGTCACCTTGCAAACCTGCTGATGCACTCACATCCAGAGAGGGTGGTGGCTGTGGGCGTCGCCTCTATTGGTGAGATTTTCAAAGACAAAAGCGGAAGACAGCGAGAAAGATCAAGAGAGAGAGAGAGAGAGAGTGAGGAGGGTAAGGAAACTCGGTTGGAGTGGATGTCGACTGCAGACCATCATTGAACCGCCTTCTGCCTCGCGCCATCCGCCTTGCTCCGTCCGCCTGCAATGGCGCGCTCGCCCTCGCGCGCCCAAACGGGTGGTCAGCAGGGCGGGTAGGAGGCAGCCACACGCCTGTGGCTGCCGGCCGTGCGTCATCCCACCACGCTCGCCCTCCTCTTGCATGCGCGCCGTCCTCATGTTTGCCCTGCCAAGGAGAGAAAGAGGGAGTCAGAGCCAAGGAGGGTGACCAAGGGCTACCGGAGGACTTGCCAGTGAGCAACGTCGATGGAAATTTCAAAGACAAAAAAGAGTACTACACTGAAAGAGCTCAGGAGAGAGAGAGTGAAGAGCAGAGGGCAAAGGAACTTACTAGCCGGTTTGATTTGTCGTCCGCAGCTGATCGCTCCATCCACCAGCAGCACCGCCTCCTCGCCTCGCTCCATCAACCGCGCATGTCTCTTCCATCCGCACAGGCCGTGAGGAACACACACGCATGGGGAGAGATACACAGCCATACAGAGGCAACATAACAAGGTGGGTTAGAAGCAGCTGGAGGCGAGTGGTGGAGCAGCAAGCAACAGACACGACTCTTGCCTCTGCGCGGCGACGCCCTACGACTCTCTTCACTTCCCCTCTGCAAGCACCCCCTGGCACGTACCATGCTCCGTCCGCCACTCTCCCACTCCTACGCCACGCTTTCACTTCAGGCGTGCTGCTCTTGGATGTCTCTCGTGCGAGCCAGCGACAGAAGCCTCGTCCACTCCGTGCCATTCCCCTTTACCTCGCAGACCATGAGGCACACCACACGCATGGGGAGAGAAAACACGCACACAGAAGCGGCGCAAAATGAAGGGTAAGAAGCAGCACGAGAGGAGGCGAGCAGCGGAGGCAAGGGAAAGAGACACGACTCTTGCCTCTGCGCGGCGACTCACTACCCTTCCCCCCTGCAAGCATCCCCTGGCACGAACCTTGTTCCGTTCACCGCTCTGTCGCTCCTGCGCCACGCTTTCACTTCTCCTCGCTGGGACGGTCGTTGCCTCTCGTGGGACGGTTTCCATCCACGCGAGTATCTTCCATCCGGGCGTGTCGCTTCCATCCGCGCGTGTCACTTCCATCCCATCCGCGAATGTCTCTTCCATCCGCGCGTGTCTCTTCCATCCGCTCGTGTCTCTTCCATCCGCTCGTGTCTCTTCCATCCGCGCATGTCTCTTCGAACCACAAAGTCTCTTCGATCCGAGCAAGTCTCTTCAATCCCTGCAATTGAAACCACCCAGTATATTAAGATAATGAAATAAGAAGAAGAAAATGAAAACGGAAAAAGTATGGACAGAGAAAGATCCGTCCCTGGAAACGCAGGAAATGTCGTCATGAGTCCGCAGAGAAGGGAGCGTCCTGAGCTTTTTCTGCGGACTCATGACAGAGAACGCAGCTTCACCTGAAGATGACGCAAGTAGCAGGTCGAACGTCTCGAGTAGCAGGTCGAGCGACGCACGTAGCAGGTCGAACGACGCACGTAGCAGGTCGAGCGAAGCACGTAGCAGGTCGAACGTCTCAAGTAGCACATGTAGCGGCGAAATTATCAGGTCGAGCGTCGCAATAAGCTGGTAAAGCGTCGCAGCAGCAGGTCGAGCGTCGCAAGTAGCAGGTCGAGCGTCGCAAGTAGCAGGTCGGGCGTCGCAAGTGCACATGTAACGTCAAAAACAGCTCACCTTGCGTAGCTAGCGAGATACATTGAATAACGACGTGGTCGCTTCTGAGAAGCAACTTCGTAGCCTCCATATCCCTAAACAAAACTCTTTGATCCGCTAGTCTTCAATCCACCGTACTAGAGTCTTCAATCCACGATCGTTAGAGGTACAGAGTTGGTTAGACCGCCGCGTTTATATAAATCGAAGAAGCTCATGCCATGATAACTCCAGCAGATCGTCCAGGAAAAATACAGCTGATGATTCTACGATGACTAAGTTGCTCCGTGACAAGGAATCTCGAAAAAGCAGCTTATGTTTCTACTACAAAGAAGTTGCTCCGTGGCAAGGCACCTGGAAACGCCTCGTTGCCTATAGACCGCCTTTTTCACGATATTATGTTACGTGACTGGAATAATCCGTGGGAAGGACGGGAGGGAGCCATGGGAATCCGAGCTAAGAAACTCTCCCTGATCTTTGCTGGGACGTGTGAAGGATTGCAAAAAGGTTTCCAGGATTGCCTGGCTGGAGAGATGGGGAACTCGCAAGCAAGTGAAGTGAGGGGAGGGGAGGGGAGGCGAGGCCCAAGGCGAAGAGAGGTGATTTGCGTTTACATGAGCATTCGGCAAGCCCAAGGGGGACGCCGCATGGTGGTGATGTGCTGACAGGCAGCGGAAAGTCTGCTGCGTTTTTTCCGCCAAAAGGGGGGAAAACTGCGTGTGATGGAGTCAGCGGCGCGGCCAAATGTTTCGCCAAAACAGGAAGCACAGTGCGAACCTAGTGAGTGGTTTTTGCGAAGCGTAACCGTGATGGCGCTGTTGACCACTGACAACTTTCCGACTTCCGCACCATTGAGAGGGGCCAATCCCCGCGACCTTCCCTGCACCAGCAGCGCACTGTTTGCGGAGTTTGGCGGGAGCTCCGCAGCACAAAACTGTAGACTGATAGCCTGAAGATACCATTAGAGACATTATTATGGTCAAAACTGTACACATGCACACATTATTACACATGCACACATGAAAACAAGATGACCACAATGAATTACACTACTTTTTCCATGCATATACAGTGACAGTAATGGTAAAACAGGTTTAACACGCGTCGATACTGAAACATTGGATGAAGGGAGGTGTCAGATGGAATTCAACGCTAAAGGCCCTGTGGGAGTCCAAG